CCCTATCCCACGATCTTCCGGTGCCCTAGGTATGAGTTGTCTCTATCTGCTAGGACAATCAAATCGCACACCGTTTATTCTGAAAACTTTGTGTGACAGACCTGAATCAGATACCCCATGAACTCTGTGGTCGTACAAATCACTTTCTCTTTCTGACAGCTTAAGAATATTTAGCTTCCCATCATCTAGGAAGCCGGGATGTTTCAACCACCTGTATGTTTCCAGTAGTATTCATTTCTTTTCTCTCCTTTCACTTCACCTCCTGAAGCTAATATGAAGTATATTACACATTCCTCAATCTATTATTCTGCTACCATTACCAACGATCAAATCCATGGTTACCTCATTCCTAGTACTTTGGAATCCCGTCTTTGTTTTCATGTAGAAGCTTTCAACGTCCAAACTCTAAACCAAATCTGACAGCAGGTAACACCCACCAGAACGCTGGAATATGTAGCCATGGATATATGTTGTTTCGCTGTGACACGTACTCAGGACCCGAGTGTGGTTATTAAACTGATATCACCACCTGGCCACTGTAGTGGATCTTCATATCCATTTTAAGAGTACCTGGGGACTCAATGGTGTAAACCTAGCACTAAGATGTGGGGTAGAATTTTCTCTTCTGGACTGGCTGCCAGTCAACAGCCGTCTGTACTCTGTTCTACTGAATGGATTTGTAAGGGTTAAGAAGAATCGTAAGAGTAACCAATGCCTATTCGCAATCATCGATTGCACTTCAGACAATGCAAGTAATGAATTGTATGAGGAGTTGTCAGTTTTGCTACAGCTGTAGTCATAATAGTAGGCGGAGTCAACGGTCAAGTAAAAAATTGAGCCAGTCTGAAAGGCATCTGGGAGATACAGACGGAATCTTTAAACAACGAACCAAAACGGGTCATAGTCTGTTGCAATTTTATTGTGACAATCACTTGCTTCTGGCCAGCATTAGCTTCGAACATAAGGATAGACACTGTCCCACATGGCGAACGCCTACATGAAAGCGACAATGGACACGGATAGATCATATTGCCATAAGACATCACTGGAGGATTGCAGCCCTTTCTTGAGTGGCTGTTTAGACTCTAATCATGCACTTGTACGGGATTGTGTATGTGTACGCCTTACTATTCGCAGAAAACATGGGGCAATAAAGCCTGTATGTGCTAGATTACAACATGAGTTTATCTAATATGTATTAAGGAAGTAGGTAGTGAAGAATTTATCTGAACTTGATAACAATGCTCATCCTAAGGAAACTTTTTGTGATATTAAATCTGCTGTAGAAACAGCACTAAAGACAGTTGGAAAACTTCATCCAACGGTTAGCAAACGCCACTGGATTTTCGGCAGCTTCGACTGAAATAGCTGATGCGAGAAGACTAATTTCAGCTGACTCCGACCACGACGAAGGGCGAAAGCAAATAAAACATAAATTGACCAAGAGTCTCTCCAATGGCCGTGAGCAGTGATGGGTGGTGAGAGAGAGGGATGGATAAGGCATCAGTGTTGGGTAATACTCCTCAACTATAAGGTTTATATAGGATGCCGGCAACAAGAAGATGGTTAGTGAAACTACAAACTAGAAGGATAGGACGCTGATAACCTCCCAGGATAGACGGCTAGAGCGTTGGGCAGAACACTTCGAAGCACAGTTCAACTGGCCCTCACCAGCGCTTCCGTTGCCCATCATCCAGCCAGACCAAACTGAATGGGATACAGATGTCGGTCCTCTAACTCCCCTTAAAGTTGACAAAGCTGTGTCAAACCTGGAAAGATGTAAAGCCACCTGAAGTTTTCCAAGATGGAGGTAGAAAGCTGCTGCTTAAAGTGACAGGGGTACTAGGTAGTGTATGGGAAGAAGATTTAATGCCGTCAAACTGATGTGCTTCACTGCTTATCCCAATCTATAAGGGGAGAGAGAAATCTTCTTGCGACAACAAAAGAGGAATCAGTTTGGCTAATATTGTGTCCAAGAACCTGTTGTCCATAGTTATCTAACCCCTAACAGGAGCTGGAAAACAGTAAACACGAGAGAACCAGGCAGGTTTCAGAGTTGGACGAGGGTTCACCGATCATACTATCACCCTTCTACAGTTTCTGGAAAACAGGCCTACCCACTGGTGGCTTACACTTGTATTTCTTAGCATGATGGAGACACTTGACTCTGTCGACTGCGAGGTGTTGTGGCAGTATCTGACTGTGAAGGGAATGCCGAGTAAGTATACCACGCGAATCACAGTTGTCTAGTGACACTCACTCAGCTATTAAAGCGCTTGTGAAGAGTAAGTATCTGAAATGACGAAAATTAGTGGTGTCCACAACGGATATGCTGTGTCGCCATTCCTATCTAATTTCACTATCGATATACTAGTGGGCATGATCTTAGGTACCTTTGAGTTTACAGTGATTGATTTTCTGCCTGGAGGTTATCTATTTGACTTGGAGTATGCAGATGATATTGTCCTGCCGGGTGAAGACGTTGACAAAAACAGTCTTCGGAAGCTGTTGAGTAGGAATCTGAGAATGTTTGGCATGCGTTTGATTGGCACCTGTTAAATGTAAAACGATGATTCACGAATGCCTTGCAATTACTCCTATTTAAGGGTAGTGAGTGAAATGATGGAATGAGCCTACCACCTCACTTACTCATAGAGTTGCGTCGGCCCAAACGCATTGGTTGCTGACGAAATCTCAGCTGAGATACAGAATGTTCGTCTGGCATTTGCCAAGTCACGTCATCTACGTTGCCGGTGAGATACCCGGCTGCATATCAAAGGACGAGTATACTGCACTGCGGTTTGTTCTGTCCAGTTATACAGCTGTGAAAAAGTGGAAATATATGAGACAGCTACAAGATATTGATCACAAATGTCTTCGTAGCTTTGTTTGTATATTGTGGAATCGCCATGTGAGCAATGTTGAGGTTCGGGAAAGGGAACTAGGTAACAAGCAAGTCGATTGATGAAGTTGTAAATCACCAACTGAGGTTACTTGAAAGTGGGGTGCGTATGCTGAGCTACGGTCCACCCCGACGTCTATTGTTTTGATTGAACAGGAATGGGTTGCAGAAAGGCATGAAGTCCCTGACTGCTGGTCTGAGCTGCTTTGGGGAGGTGCAGACTACGTGCTTGGGGTCCCCAAAACAATAGAAATCAGTGGTTTTGGACGATTATTGAGATGGCTGAAAATTGGTTACGTTGGCACAGATGTATGCACTCTTTGACTTCTAAACCTTGAATATTTGCAGTAACCCTACTTTTTAAATTTTTTACTTTTATATCAGTCTCCTATCCACTTGTTCATTGCTTACTGCAGTGAAGTGTGGCAATTTGAAGCAATGCACTGGTATGTAAGGTCTTACTTAGATTTTATCTTTCCTCTCTGTTTGTTCTTACATTACACATACCTTGATAAACCTTATTTTATTGCCAAGATTAGTATCAAATATCGTCTGTCCTTTTTATCTTTCTTAATTTTAATTTCCGATTATCATGACTATCCTATTTGCCCTCTTGTGTTTTGGCTTTATATAAATCGACTTGACTAGTTAATATGTGACCAAACTTTTCGAAATGTATTTTTCAGATATATCACATTGTTCAAGTAAATTACATCTAATTACACTATCCAATTTTATAAAAAGGAATAATTGTCGGAAACACTTATTAATTGGACGAGTTTGTGTGTTTTAAAAACACCGTGATCACAGCCTCATTAGGAATTCTTTCTTCTATGATGATACTGTCATCGTTTTGAGTTACTTCTTATTGTTACTGAACTCGTTAATTTTCCTATCCTTATGAAGTCTCATGAATTTATAGACGCTTTCTCATGGATTTTTTTTTGAATAGTAATGTTTTCTTAATGTTTAGTTATCTTACCAAGAATTTTTCACTTCATCATAAGGTCCTTAGTTGGATTCAGTAAAAACGTCTTCAAGTTTACCTCAAGTAAAATAAGATTGTATGCTCTAGTGTACAACTTAGAATGTGATAGGGGGAGTGAGCATGTTTAAGGTGCTACTTATTGAAGTACATTTAAATAGTAAATAATGAAATGAGCGAATCAACAGGAGCTGACATTTCACCGGTTGCAGTTCTGGAGAATGGAACGAGATATACTGGAAGGAAATACAAAAGAAAAACAGAGAAGTGGTAGAAACTAATGGATTATTCGCCTTGGAATCACAATGCAGACATTATTTGCATGAACGACATAAAATGCAAAGCTGCAATTTCCTTACTAATAAGTAATTTTGGTGGTCCTGACCAGTCTGCTTTTTGTAACGGCTTCTTAGCTCGAGTCCAATGAAGATAAAATACTTTGCTAATTAATTGGGACTATGGATACAGTTACACAAAAACATTTTACGTATAAAAGACGATGTTAGTTTTATAACGTGAAGTATGTGGAACTTGGCGTCTTGACTTTTAATTGGGTGTAAATAAAACTCTTGATACTGGGTGCTAACTGAAAGTCAGACAAAAACCTGTATCGCTGCAGGATTGGAATCAGCTACCTTCGATTTACTAACCCGGCATTCTACTAACTTATTTGTGAGACTATGTTGCTGAATTGGTCCTAAACTCGCTTCAGTCAGTGAAGGAATCACTCCACTATTATGTCAATGAGTGATGACTAACTGTCTGTTTATTGTAACCATACTGGCTGTTCACCCAAGTCATCTCATCCTAAAAGATGAAAGAGAGAAGAAGAGTGTCATATTGATTACCGATGAAACTGAAATAGTCATGGTTTAGCAGAATAGCGTGATTGATAGTTGGTCTGTAGCCAGGAGGTCGCTGGTTCGAATCCTGGGACAAATCAGATTTTTTTTTCTTTTCTAATCATCATCCAGTATCAATAACACTAGTGTACTGAACTACAGCTAAGATAGTTTCATTGATAAAATAAAAGTTGTTTCACGCAACGAATTAAAAATAATAGGAAGACTACAGAGCTTAAGAATAATTTTAAAAATAACTTTAATTACTTACAGGGATTACTGTCAATGATTCTATACACTATATCTGGCAAGCAATTTTCTTCGAGTGCACATTCAAGTAGCCAAAGGCTCATCTTTTGAATGTATGAGGACGTTTCCAAACTGTAACGATCAGGTAGTAAATCCGGTAAGTCTAAAAAAGGTATAACATAGCATATCTATGATTATATATATGAACTATTCAGAAATTCGCATCCGTAAGTCACTTCGAGTTTAAACAACAAACTGTCTTTGTTTTCTGTGAAGACACTGGCGTATGAACTAGCTAGTCAAGCAATCATACTGACTGACATTTCCTGTCTCACGAATTTCTTTGACTTGTCTTCCCTTTTTTCGCATGACAACGTTGTTGTCATGATCTTGATCAACCTTTTTTGTCTAAAATCATATTAGCAGTCTACTGGCTTTTTGCACAGTCAAACCCAAACCAATAGGAACTATAGGTTAATGCTACCAAGGATTCGAATAAAATCAACTTTTTGTCACCTTGAAAATCTTGTCAAGTTTTGCTTACCTTCTTCTATGTAGTCTTTCTCCTTGCATACATCTTGTCTAGTTTATTGTCATTCTTTTCTCACTTCACCTATTCTTTACATTCTGCTATAAAGTAAGACAAATTGAACCAATGCACTTAAGCCCATGGTTGTATGTTGATCTTTCTGTCATAAAACTGGTAGTAACTCTTCTATTTGTAACACCAGTTTATACAGTTTCTTCGTTTGTTTTTGATTTGTATTCAAATTAGCCTGTCCTCTCAAACGCGAAACTAGGATACCACTTGTATTTCTTACTTTCTTCATTCACTAAATGAGTGCAATACTGGATGATCTGAAACTTCCTGTTTTGACGGTTATATATGAAGCTATTCAAAAGAATCGCAATTACCGAGTGAAGCACTAGTTAAGTGTGGATTGCAACAAATTACTTGCTGGTATTCTTGAAAATTGATTGGCAGATATATTATTTTCTACATACTTTTAACTAGCAGATTTTCATGACCTGAAAGTTTGGGTAATCTTTGAACTGGAATTTCGACTGCCAGAACGTTTTCTACCAGTTAAGGTATCATTTCAAGTCTAACCTTGTTTCCCCTAAAAGTGTACTGGAGCTGATGATTGCTGTGACTAGGAAAACTCATTTACAATTTAGTTTAAGGATTAAACCATTCATATATACTATTGTGTCACGCTTGCTTGATTAACGAATGGCGAGGTTTTAATTCTAACTCCGTGGATAGTATCGAAATATTCTTGTGGATAACTTGAGTAGCTAGGAACTATTTAGGCTTATCTGCAGATTTCAGCACTCACGTCAGAGTGATTTAAACTTCTGACGGTCGAATGACTCCTTTGGAGTACAGGTCATCAGCGGTGATTAGTTTGCAGGTGATTTACAGATCGACATTTTTCACAACTAAGTAGTTTTTCAGCTGCTCAGGTGTGGTTTCAATAGGGTTTTCGTTCGAAACCACTCAGTCAAGATCCTAATATGTGATCCTTGACTCAAAGAAGTCATGAACTGGCTAAATATACTAATGGACAGCTTAAATAGTTTGAAACCAATGACATTGACCAAATTAATCGTCCCGTTTAAGGTATACCGATCCATGCAAGCCATGGAGTCAAATTCAAATGATTTGCACGATTTGGCTCTGAGAGCTAAATTTTTAAGGTACACCGTTGATGAGTTCAGCTCCAAATGAGCTAAACAGTTGTCTTATGTTTAGATCACTCTGACCTAGTTGGTGAAATTTACAGATAAAACTTAGTAGTTTCTAACTAGTAGTATACTTCTTTAGTTTTTGGCTTTTTGGTGTCAGGGATTATGTCTTGTGATCTTGACCGTATGCTTTCCAGCAGATAACATGTTGACAAAATGTTTCAACAGTTGAAAAACTATTCAGCTTTGTGGAATCTCATCGTGGACTGTGAATTTTGTAAGTCATTTGGAATTCGATCGTCCGCAGAGGGTATTTTTATAGTCTTGACAACCATTACATTAGAAGTCTGTTCAGTGATTTTTATCGTAACTGTATGCAATACTTACTCGCTTAAAGTGGGTTACATATTCACTCTAACTTGATTAAAGTCTGTCAAGAAATCAGGTTTTTTGTTGTCTTGTTTATTGATATACTAGTAATTCTCCGCTATAATACTGAATGAAGTTAATCGATATATATCGGTATATAAGCTCCTTTGCAGGTCCCTCGATATCGCTGGAGGTGGCTATCCTACCTTGGTGGCCTAGTGGCTGACGCCTTAGCGTTTGAGGCGATGGTTATAAGGTTCGAGTAGCGGTGGGAGTAGAAAATCACCCAATGAGGCGCAGGCACATCCAACTGATGAATCGCAAGTCGGGTGAAACGTGAGTATTGGATCCCACTGCTAGCCACAACCGATAAAATTTGTTTATCTCGGATGAAACCACCACACTATTGGCATGAACTGGATAGTATATGTTATGGAGAGTAGGATACATAACAACTTGGACAATTTACTGACAAGCTCTAACAGACTTTGGTGAAAGTGTAAATTAAATTATTTCTGTAGAGTTTAGTTCTATCTAAGTAGCCAAATGAAACTAGCTATTAGTGTTAGAACGTGTAAGTATTTCATTAGTGGTACCGTTAGGAAGGGAGACGAAAACAGAAAGTGTGGATTTTGAATAATTATGTTTTCACTAACCATATTTGCTGAAGAATTCTACACAGGACATTAAAGAAAAATGTTTTTTTGGCCTGTTTATGTACTTTTGTTGTAACTGTATCTTGTTTTTATTGATAAAAATCAACTAACTTATGCTGATTTTCAGTTAACGGGACATCTCAGTGGGTGGTCGAACCTCATAATTAGGTCACTACTTCGGTACTATTTATTCACCATGCTCAACCCCTAACCATCCACCACCCGAGTAACTGAAATCTAAAGATGAAACTATGATTACAGTGACTGGATTGTTGATCACATGAAATTTTCTGAAAAGATTCCTGGTCATAATAAAAATGAAGTACAACTAGTAAATTTATAGTAACACAGAGCCAATACTGATTTAATCTTATCAGGTACAGATTGATTCTCCTAGTAGCTTGGACCGGTCAATAAAGTCTACACGGGAAGTCAGTTTGATGAAGCTGAGAGGTTGTAATGGAGTTGATGTGCTCTGTCCTTGGGTTTACAAAGTTTCTGGTGGCCATATGTCATTTACATACCTTAAGCATGAATAAAAGAGACATCCGCATTCAGAGATCTCAGTAATATATTATTATTATTATTATTATTTGTCCCTCGGGTTCCTAGTGGAACATAGGGCTTCAGTAACACATCTCCATTTCACTCTCTTCTCTGAAATCTTTTCAACCGGGCTCCACGACAGCCCACAAGCTCTCATTTCTTCCTCGCACGATCTCCTCCATGTCACCCTCACCACAGACACCCAACTCGTCGCTTCCCATGGGGATCCCACTCAAGGGCCTGATGCGAGATGTCCCCAATCGGCCTTCTCAATGGATGCCCAATCCATCTCCACTTCCTCCTGCATATTTGTTGCGTGATAGGTTCTTGGTTGGTTCGTTCCCAGAGTTCCTTGTTGCTTATTCTTTCTGGCCATCTGATCATCAGTAGCGAGCGTAAGCAGTTGTTGATGAATGTCTGTAGTTTGTTGGAAATCCCTTTCGTGACGCGCCAAGTCTCTGAACCATACAGAAGCACTGACTTGACGTTGGTGTTGAAAATCCGGATCTTGTTCTTTGTGCTGAGTGCAGAATATCTACACACTGGTTTCAGGCTAATGAACGCCTGTCTTGCTTTTTTCCGATTCTGACTTTGACATCCTCGCCTGTGCCGCCTGTAGTTGAAACAGTGCTTCCTAGATAGGTGAAGGAGGTTACTTCCTTTAAGTTTCTCCTATTGATGGTGATTGGAGTTTGTTGTTGTTGGTGGTGGTGTGGTATCTTCATCAATTCTGATTTATACTTCAATGGTAACTGCCTTTCGACCTACGACTATTCAAAAGACCTGTCCGGTATTGTGGTATGTTCCAACTAGCGTAGACAACTGAGTGATTGTGATATAGAAGCCCACCGACCCTGTCAAGGTATCACCTATCGTTTGGGACTATAGAAGTAAATTCTTTCCGTACACACAGAGGTTGATTCCATCTATCTATGGCTATCGTTTCCGCGAATCGCAGTACACGTCTCTGACTGTTCCTCCATAGAACTTTGAGAGTTGTTTCAATATCTGTTTTGAAGTCACTTAGATACATGTTCTTCCATCCTCAGCTGCATAACTCAACTACTCCTCTCTATGAGTGTTTGTCCACACACATATGTGAACCGGTAAACAGAGTGCGATGGGACGTAATCATTTGTGCAGTGTTAATGTTTGTGAGGAAGCATGTATTTTGTCTTTTCCACAATGATAACTTTAGCTATATAATATGATATAGCAATGGTAGATTTTAACCCCTGGCTCAAAATCATACTATTCGACTCCCTTTCGTATGGACAGGAACCTAGTGCAGGGTGTACCTCAGTGTTATTATTATTATTAATAATGTTGAAGTCAGTATCAGCTTATTTTATTTGATCTAGAAACGAATGATGTGTTGTTTACTGATTGAAATTTGGAGTACCATCTGTTGCTCATGATCATATCAAGACATCTTGTGGACAATTCTGTATGAATATTTGCTATTTCAAACAAACTTTTTTTGTAAGTAATGATACCCTAATGCAGTGCAAACGTCTTACTTTTATGTGTCTATATGACTGATTAGTAGCTTTAGCATAAAGATAGTATTTGGGAATAGGATTCAGTCTAAACAAGTTACTCAGTTTCTTTAAATGTTTATTCTGATAAAGTAAATACATTATTGTTATAGGTTAATGATTCAGTAAAACAACTGGTTTGGTAAACAAAATACTACTTACTTTCCGTACACTCAACAGCTGCTATTAATTGTGACTGACATGGTATACCATTGAAATCAATATAACTTTTACACTTTTGCAAACTAGTCTCATTTCCATAGCAATATCCAATTATACCAATTGGTTTGGTAGTATTATTAATTCCTGTTTGTACTATTGGCATCTAAATATGTAGAATTAAAGCATAAATGTAAATAACAAAAAGTTTCAAACACTATCAATTAGTCTAGCAAAATATTTATCACTGTTTAAGTGAATATTAATTTGAGTGCTGAACATCTAAGTCTAGTTGACCACATTACGATTTACATACAGATGATCTATTTAAATATTATCCTTACAAAAATGGAGAAAGATTGAAAACCTGGGAGGACTGGACAAATTTTTAGTCTTAGTTTGAAACTCCCTAAAAGTACATATGCATGATAGTGTGATGGATTCAACCTAGGTATATTAGTTCTCATTGTAAGCATTTCAAAATTCACCAACTGAATTAGAATACGATGGTCCACTATTTCTTACTTATGTCAGTCCGTGATATAGTACGATGATCACTCAAACAAAGACAAAAGACCTATCCAGTGCTTTTAGGTATTTAGTAGTTCTCCAAATGATGCCAATCTACAATCAAAAGTACTTTCATTTTAATAAATCTCTGCAAAACGCTGATTGACTAAAGACAGTTTCGACATAATATGAGTTTTGGAAGTGAATTTCACGCATTTTAGTCATACTACTGAAGTTTGTTTATCTTAAAGGATATTTTAAGTAGGTGATTTTGGCAACATTTTCTACACTTGCTGAATTTTATTAATTAACCTTTTTGTTCATACTTTTTAAGCCGATTAGTAAACCAAACATTTGTTCAGTGACAAAGTCAGTCGTTCTTATTGTAAACACATGCATACTGGCAAGACAAGAACTCGGTAACATTGACATCGATTTGTCTTTAATTTGGTTGATTCAGAATGAAGTAAAAGTTTTCTCCTAGCTAGAAAATCTTTGTTATTTGTATGATTCATTTCCATTTGTTGATATGCAATGTTACCCGTCTTAACAGCTACTTTAACATAATTACAATAGATTATAGTTAGACTGGCTGAAGTGTCGTACACTAATACTCATTTCTTGGAAACTCAGCTACCATATAGTATTTATGTCATTATGATATCTACCAAACACTAGTAACTGTTAATATGCTCTTTTTCTTCTTCACCAACAATCTGGACTACACTTGTTATAAGATAAATATAAGGCAAGATTTTAAGCAAAAGTTAGCATCTTCTAAAATTTTAATGCATACGAATAAGTTGATACATTTCATTTCTGATTACTTATTCTGAACAATTTGGTTAGAGCATACTAAGAAGTGTTGAATATTTTGACCAAAGCGTTTTTAATGTACCTGCAGTAATGGTCGATTTTTAAAAAAGTTGATCCACCATATATGCTAATTACATATGGTAAGTTTAACAGATGCTAAATTGGTTGATACTAAATTAGTTATAATTGAGAATATCAGTTGTTTGACAAAAGTTGTTCATGCAGTTTTTTTTAATACTCGTTTTTGGAAACCAGTTATTCTACTTACCATCCATTTGTTTGGATATGAAGATAAATTGGTTGGTACTACATTTGAATGCTTACACTTTCTTTCTGTAAACTATCTATTTTTTTAATCACTTTCTAGTCTCTTTACTGGAAATCACTTTCTCAGAGCATACCTACGTTAAAATTGTTTGATTTTTTTGATGGAATATGAAGCACACCTAGAGTAGCTGTATTAAATGTAATTATTGGAAAAGCAGAGGACGCTGACTGTCCTCCTTGTCTAGAAATGTGAACTGATACATATCTGATCTCAACTCAACATACAAACCTTGTGCGATTGGCATAGCCATAGGATACCAAAGCGCTTTACATGACTAAGAATAAATAACAGTCGCTTGTAGTTGTTAACCGTAGGAGAGATTAGCAATATTGACAAAATGGGCAATCCAAGCCATCCATTAGTGCTAGATCTTTGAATTTTATAGCTTGATATTCGATACACAGTAGGTAGGATGAAAAATCATGAAGATTAGTGTCAAAATAATCCTGACATAAAGATGTCGGTAAGAAAATCATTGAAAACTAAGAATTATATCTATTCAAGAATCACCAACAGTTATTCCATGTCTGTCTATTTTGAAATCGAATTCAGAACTTTCATATGTCTTAGTTTGTAAATCATCTTTGAATCACTGTATTCAAAAATGTTGTCCAATTTTGCAAGTTCAAGTAACTCAGTTCTCTCCTGAAAAAGGCACAGAAATTTAGACGAAAATTGTTTGTTTCGAATTTTCTGCCCTTCATAGTCAATTAAATTTCAATATAATATATCCGTAAAATTTTAAAAATAGCTGTACCTCGTTTTTTCCTATTTCAGATAGAGGGGAGATCTAATCATGCAATACAGGATTTTAAGAAATAACTTTGAACTTAATCTATCTTCTCGTTTCTTTTCCACTGGGTCAGGACACCTCTAAAGACATAGCAGGAGAATATAAAAGAAAAGGACGAACGTAGTCTTTGTAGAATACTAGTTCTCGTGTCAAGGAATCAACTCTTGCAAACGACTTTCATAAAAAATGGTGTCCACCTCAGCAATTGACTTGTTCAAAAGAGGACTGCACAAGCACAGAGATATACTGGAAAAGAATTAATATAGGCTTATAGCTATCTACTTTCGGGTAACAAATCTAATATGAAACACAAGTAGCCAAAAGTAATTCACTATGCCTTTTTGTCCTAAAAAAACTATTAAATAATGTTCACATGGTAAGTACTTATTTCTGTGACATGAAACTGCAAACATTCAGCTTGGTGTAAAAAGATCATAATGGACTGTGCCTAATTGCCACCTTTATCATTAGTATAAGGATCGTCATCATGAAAACACAAATAGGACCTTATTGCTCTTAAGTCAGAATGTAGTAAGTATCTGAGCCGACGACAGTATCCTTCGTTTGTGCAAACTGTTATCTTTACACTATGATGCTTATTCAAAGACTTAAGGATAGTCTAAAAGCTAGGTAATTATCTTTTTTGTTGTGCAGAAGTAATGCGTTATAACTGTGTATGTGTTATCATATCACTGATAAAATGTTGTAACTTTTTTAAACTATTTAACAAAACTCTACCAAGATGTTCACTTGCTTCGAGAACAATAGTTATCTCTGGGAAGATCTATAAGGTTTAGCAGAGTTTTTGGAATAAGATTTGATTTGAAGTAAAGATAAATTCTAATAAGCTTCGTGGAAAGTTTTTAAAGTTAACCAATTTTGAACAGTTTTAGATAGAATCAAGCACAACTTACTGGAATGACTCTGCCTCCATGACCAGCATTCAGTTGATGACAGAACACAATAGCTTCAGCTGAATGAAAGTAGTCTGGACATACCGTTCCTATCGTTCCATTTTCAGTTTGTATTATAACAGGAAGGAATATAGATGACTGTTTTTCTTGCCTTACATCAGAATCACGACTAATCACATTAAAGCTCACCTTAAATATCAAGAAGACACACATATGTGAGGTGAATTAAACACAAATGAAGTACTTTTATAAAAAACGTATCTGTATAAACCAAAAAATGTAGGTGAAGCAAGTTATAAAACATTCAGTATTAATGAATGAATTATTATAATGACAGTTATTGTAATTGATGTTTTATAGTAATCAAAATTTAGCTTGTATTGAATCCTGTCACATCTACCTAATGCCAAAGAGATGGTTGTATGCAAAATAAGAAGAAAACATATCAGGAAAGTGGATTCTAAGAATCCTTATCTGTATACCTATGCGTATTTTTCAATTATTCAGAAACTCTGAGTTCAGGTACAATTTAGTTTGTTGATAACCTGCAAATTTGAAATCAGCAACAAAATTCACTGGAACAGAACAGTATGACATCTTTGCATCTGAGAGATTCCTCTCATCAGCTTGCAATTAATAAAAAATTTCATTAAAATTCTACATACTTTTTGTAAATACAAGAGTAGAGATTGGCAGTGTGTAGAGCATAATTCATTTATAGTCATTTTACTGTATATATCACATCATTATGTAATGTAATATGTATGATTAAAAAGCTATGATAATAATTACTATTATTATTTGTCACTTGGGTTCCTAGTGGAACATAGGGCTTCAGTAACACATCTCCATTTCACTCTCTTCTCTGAAATCTTTTCAACCGGGCTCCACGACAGCCCACAAGCTCTCATTTCTTCCTCGCACGATCTCCTCCATGTCACCCTCACCACAGACACCCAACTCGTCGCTTCCCATGGGGATCCCACTCAAGGGCCTGATGCGAGATGTCCCCAATCGGCCTTCTCAATGGATGCCCAATCCATCTCCACTTCCTCCTGCATATTTGTTGCGTGATAGGTTCTTGGTTGGTTCGTTCCCAGAGTTCCTTGTTGCTTATTCTTTCTGGCCATCTGATCATCAGTAGCGAGCGTAAGCAGTTGTTGATGAATGTCTGTAGTTTGTTGGAAATCCCTTTCGTGACGCGCCAAGTCTCTGAACCATACAGAAGCACTGACTTGACGTTGGTGTTGAAAATCCGGATCTTGTTCTTTGTGCTGAGTGCAGAATATCTACACACTGGTTTCAGGCTAATGAACGCCTGTCTTGCTTTTTTCCGATTCTGACTTTGACATCCTCGCCTGTGCCGCCTGTAGTTGAAACAGTGCTTCCTAGATAGGTGAAGGAGGTTACTTCCTTTAAGTTTCTCCTACTGATGGTGATTGGAGCTTGTTGTTGTTCTTGTCGTTGTTGTTGGTTGGGTATCTTCATCACCTCTGTCTTCTCTATATTCACCTGAAGTCCCGTCTTCGCTGCCTCTTGTTAGTTTTCGCCTGTAGATCTTCACGTTTGTGTGACATCTGACACAAGTCATTGGCGAAATCCAGATCTTCTAGGTTCTTTTCCGCAGTCCAGCCAGCGTATCCCCCTCTTCTCGCTCCCCACTGTTTGCTGCATGATCCAGTCCACCACAATCAGGAATATCATGGATGATAGTAGGCAGCCTTGTTTCACTCCTGTCTTCACTTCGCTGCAAAGGCATCAGTGAGCTTCCCATTGTCAATTACTTGGTATGTGGCATCTTCATATAGTTGTTGAATGAGGCTGATAAAGGTTTGCGGTACTCCGTAGTAATGAAGCAGTTTCCAAATTACTTCTCGGTCGACGCTGTCAGAGGCCTTCTCAAAGTCGATGGAGTTGAGGTAGAGAGTTGACTGCCATTCTATACTCCGTTCTATGATGAGATGATGCGAAGCGTTGCAATTTGGTCTGCACATGATTTGTACTTCCTGAAGCCTGCCTGTTCCGATCGTAGTTTTGAATCCAGTGCATCTTTAAGCCTCTCCAGGATGATGCGGCTTAATATTTTTCTTGGTGTGGATGGACAGGAGAGTGATTCCTCGCCAGTTCTTGCAAACACTGAGGTCTCCCTTCTTCGGCAGTTTGACAAGGTGACCCTTCTTCCAATCAATGGACACGTACCTTCTCTTCCTTCCACACCTTCTGCGATAGAGGTGTGGTTTGAGCATGTCTGCTGTTGTCTCAGTGTCTGTTCTCAGTGCTTCTGGCGGGATCCCATCTGGTCCTGCTGCTTTTCCGCATTTCAGTAGCTTTATGGCGTTCAGGACTTCCATTTTCGTTGGAGAATTTATGTTCACTTGTAGTTCAGCGGCTGTAGGTTGTATTTCTGGACGAAGTGCAGGTGGTGGTCGATTCAAGAGCTTTTTGAAGTGGTCAGTCCATCGTTTTCTTTGTTTATCTTCTTTGGTAATTAGATTTTCTTCATCATCTTTTATTGGTTTCATCTGCGTTGATCTCTCGCCTACCAGATAGTAACCTGTTTATTTGATATTGTGTTGTCAGGTCTCCTACTAGCTGGCAGTCTGTTCTACTTCACTTGCTAGTGTTTCGTAGAAGTGTCTTTTGTCTTTCCGTGCACTCTTCTTCACTTCTTTGTCCAGTGTTTTACACATTGTACTCAGTTCCTCTTGTCGTTGAGCATCCTTACACTGGTTTATCTTCTGCTTCACCATCCTCCTCTCCTCTATCAGCTTCCAGGTATCCGTCGAGATCCATTCCTTGTCTTCTTTCTTCTTCCTTCCTAATACTGTTGTGCAGGTTTCTTTCCACATAGCTTTCAAAGACTTCCAGTGTTCTTCCACACAGGTTTCTTCAGGGATGTTCCTCGATATCTCCCATTTTGTCTTGATGGCTGACTGACGTGAAGACCTCCTTTGTAGTTTCGTCCTTCAGTTTCTGTTCTGGGTGTTGTACTTGAACTGTGGTCTATCATCAGCTTCCATGAAGGCTTTTAACTTGATTTTGAAGGTAGGTTCGTTGCACTGGATAGTGAGTGGTCTGAACCTACATCTCCTGTTCTTGACCTTGTGTTAAGTAGACTGCTTCTCTACTTTCTTGAGATTGAGATAAAGTCAATCTGGATTTTAGTGTGTCCTGGTTTCTGGTGAAATCGAATCCATGTCGCTTTGTGGATATCCTTGTGCTTGAACACACTGCCTCACTGCAATCACCGAATCGTTGAATGCACAGAATTCTGCAAACAGTTCTCCATTCTCGTTCATTTCACCTAGCGCTTCTCGACCCATGGTTAGTTCTCTTCCTGTGTTGTCCCCTCCCAGTCTGGCATTCATGTCACCCCACCCATCAGATTTTTGATGTCGCCGTCGCCAACTGGGGTCTTGTCCATTACTGATTGCAGTTGTCTGTAGAATTCCTCCTTTTTCTCTTGCTCTGCATTATTTGTAGGTGCGTAGCGTAGCATTGTATGCTTGTGACCTTCCTTTTGAGTTGAACCTTGCTGTCATGATCCTGGATGAGGAGATTGGTTCCCACTGCATGAGAGCCTTCGATGCTCTTGGGAACATCATGATAGCCACTCCAAAACTCAGTGTGCTCGTGGTTGTCGTCTGGGTGACAATATCGGAGTAGATAATTGATTCTCCAGTTGACAGTTTGGAGACTCCACTTCCATTCCATCTGCTTTCGCATATTCCAAGCACTTCAATGTGATACCTTCTCATCTCTTTTGCAACCTGGGCTGCCTTGCTGGGTTCAAACATGGTGTGGACATTCCATGTCCCCACGTTTACTTTCGCTTTCTTCGAGATAGAGAAGACACATCGGCCAATTGGCTTCCCGAAGGCAGGCTTTCACCAACTGGCGTCATTTCGCCTCTTCGATTCCAGCGAGGAATAATTTTGTTTTCATTTTTTATATTTTGTTTGTGCCTTGAAGTTTCTTTAGCGGTTAGATTTGTTTTCCGGGTTAGGGTTGCTGGCCCTATGCCCAACCTTCCCTCTTTACCCGGGCTTAGGACCGGCTAGTAACTAGTGAACTAGTTAACCAGGTGAGGTTAAAAAGCTATAATAGCCTTATAATTTTTGTTTTGACAAAAGAATGTTGATGGGAATTGAAAATGAATTGACGTGAGGAAATTGAACATAACTGGACGAACTTTATGGAGCCTGGAAATTGTCCCTACAGATTAGTAAGCTGAATAAATTCCAAATGTTTGAGAAATTTAAAAATCTGAGCTGAATATTCTTATGCATAATGACGATGAGCTCTGGCTTAAACAACTGAAATGACCGTGTACAATTACTTGACTAGCAAATTCTTAAGGAAGTAAACACTTTCCAAAAGTGTGCAGCATTCCTAAGATAAACAACGTGGGAATACGCTCAAGTCTTATATTGGTTCTGAAGAACTTTGCATACCTTGAATTCACTGGATGGCTTGTATAGTTAACTGAGCCTACTAGGGCAGAACTAGCCATTTATAATTTGAACGATAGTCTTAAATTTTTTATTTGGATTGATTACATTAAGATAAGCAGCGAATGTATAGCTTCATTAACTGGTGATTGGAAGATAACCAACTTCATATCGTCTAGTTCTAAGTGCTAGTCAAATTCTACTCATCACTTCGCATCGTGACACACTTTTGGTAGGTGTTGATTGGACAGAGGCAATAGAAAGGAAGCCCCGAATCTATGTTCCGTGCTCTTTGCCACTTGTCAGCAAAACATGTCTGCAACCTCTACGAAAATGATAACCCACACGAAATTCAAAACCACGTAACCCACTGCTCCAGTCAAAGATATTACCAGTGACTGTTTGACCATATAGGCCTCGGCTTCCCATTAGAACTTCGGGATATCCATCACGAAGCATGCCACTAATGAGCACTATAGAGTGATGTATTTTGAGGTTATTAGGGATTTTAATTTTTACTGTTGTATTTAAATCGGACTGACATCAAAAATTAAAACCCCCATTAGTCACAAAATACAGAAGAACTTGTAAGATTATTTTAATGAAAATTTATAAAGGTTAACTAGGTTGGTAAAAATAAAAAAGTAAGAGGGATAATAAAGGCTAAGGGAAAACAAAATTTTGAACTATATCACTATGACAGAATTTTAACCATTCTCAACTGTGTATCATGACTGTATATTCCGAGTGATTTAAAGCCATTCTAGTAGCTACTGTTATAGCCTATTAGGTTGCGTTAATCTATGAAAAACTACTTTTCCAGTCGAAATAAAGAAAATATATTTGTCATTTCAGTGGTTGCTAGGGCGAATTTCAGAGTCACTCCGTGTCATGATCTATGCGTGGTTTACTCTAAAAGCCACTTTGGTCACTACCAAAATAACCGATTTGGCTCCCTTATTTTGTCACGAAAGGTAATTAATTCTCAAATGTGGAAACCTAATTATTCACCTTAGAAATTATCAAGATGGCTTTTAGAGTCATTTGTTCTCCCTACATACACGTGACCTTACTCATCTGCAAACTGATGCGAGAAATAGAATGTGGAACAATCGTTCGTATACTGTTTGGGTTTGCATTATAGTCTGTTTTTGCATGAAGAATGGCCTTAGTTGCACAATTTGTTTTGCTGACAACCGATATAAGCACTTTTCTAGATAAGGCTATCTGATTCACCCCTAGACAATAGAATCTTTACCTGGGGACCAAGTGAGTTTCAGTAATGTAATACTTTTATCTCTGTTGATAAATTTCAGTAGATGTCCATTCTACCCTGATATTGGTGTCAACAGTTTGGGTTCCTCGCCTTATTTTTTTCTGTTCGGATGAAATTAAGTGAACACCTAGTTAAGACATATTTATTTTAGACTAGAAAATATATATGAAAACTAAGGTATTGTTCTATCTCAGATAGTTTCCAATAAATAGACCTTCCGACAGAGTCATTGTTCCTTCATTAGGTCTAAAAATGGCAGCTCATTATTCACTTTTTCTTTTTCGTCACAAGTACGGCTTACATGTTTCTGAATAATACTTAGTTCGTCTTATGGGCACATCAAATCATTAAGTTTATTATCACTAGTGATTATATCACTGCATATATTTCATAAAGAGAAATTGTCAAGCGAATCTTACACATGGGTTACTAAGGTTATTGAGTGGTTTCCAACGGTGACATGTAAGGTATTTTCGAACACATTCATCCTTAGGTTGGAACTGGACTTTATCACAGGATAGTAAGTATAAGTCTTTTAAAGTTATGATTAGAATAGAAAGTGTCATCAAGTTAATTGAGATATCAAGTTTTAGTTAATGGTATAATAGTAAGTCACGAATTCTCATAGAAAAAAACATAGTCTTCGATTTGATATTGATTTTATTCTAGTATTTAGTGAATTCAGATCTGTATTTCAAGGAGAATTTCACATAAACGACTTCGAATAAGATTCAGCATTTTTGCTAACTACTTTGTTAGGCTATAAATGGGTGATTGACACAGACATTACTAACAGCAGTGAATTATCGGCTTTATATATTTTAGGTAAGTTATCATTTCATTCATTGTTTATTTACTTTTACGCTAATTATTACTGGTCATTAGATGATGTTTTTCACATAAATTACTATCCTTACACCCGAAATAGTACAAAGAAGCTGCATTTTAGGTGAGCACAATTGTAGCATACATAATCTAGGTTTTCTAGACCATGATGTAGTATATTTAGTGTTAGGTATTACCAGTTAATCGCCAAGAGGCCGTGTAACTGCTTTTTGGAAAAAGGCTGTGTGTTCCCATCAGTCATAAAGGGTTTGACAAATGATAATGTCCATACATAAACTCTAAGACGAAGTGTAATCTACTCCATAATTTTTTAAGTAGTTGCATGCATATGAAGTGAAATTATTTCACAAACTTATTTCTGCAGTTGAGTAACTGAGACTTCTTTTGTTAACTGCCAAAGAACAACTAGTTAATGAAACTTCCAAAGACTTGGTCCACTCACACATTTCGACGTTATCTTATAAACCACGAAACGATCAAAATAAAAAAGAAGAATGAATCACACACACAAATATAAAAAGAGAAAGGTAACATATTATTAACTCTTAATCCTAGCGTTAAGTGTCTGAACCCTGTAATAACTAAATCTTTGATGATTATGTATGACTAAAAGTTTTTGAGAGCAGTTTTTAAAGATATATTCAAAGTAAAACCTTAACCTGCTTGAATATAGTTTTTCTATCAATGAAATTCAACATTTATTGTAGGGTCTAATAAGTTTCAGTAGTTTAGTACACTTTACAGTTACTTTCGTATGCTGTTTATAACCTTTGTTTGCATCGACCATCAATTCCTCAAATAAATGTAGTTATATTTGGATATGAACTGAGGAAATGTAATAAGATTTTGTTTAAAAGGTGTAAATGTCAAACTGTACTAGTTTAAGTTAATGAATGGTTAAAAGAAGAGTGAAATGAAATTTAACGCCTAGTATTTTTATTCAACGTATGTAATAATTCACTTACTCTCGACATTCTGTCTAACTCTATTTTACTGAACTTTAGTCGAAGTGGATTCCATGAAGGTTTATTCACAACTGGAGCTTTTTGAGCACATTTTACACCAGCTTCTTCATTTTGTCGACAGTCATGTATTCCCCAACCATTGAATCTACATTCAATAAGACGCTTTTCACTACCGGTACAATGAACTTCATCCATTAAATAATTCACTGAAATATAGAAAGAAGTGTACAGTATTTAGGATATACATCATCGTATTTTAATTGTAGCAATAATTGATGACAGGAACTATTTCAATATTCTCAGTTTAATAATATTCACTTTTTGGTAGATTACCGAGTAATTAAACTTTTTTTACGATTTCAAAAATTGACTCTTGGAACTAATCTTTCTATTGATTATTCTAAAACCAATAGCGTAACAAGTTGACAAATTATTAATGAAAAGTCATTTGTAAGGTTGAGATGTATCTTCCGAAGTAATAATTTAGTGATAGTTTTTGTGGTTAATAATGCATACATTAGTTAACCTGTGCCTTAGTATTGATTAAAGGCTCATGTATACCTCCTGCCTAATAAAGTTAACTAATAGTTTTAAAAATTCCCATCATTATATGTCTTGTTCTAGTTAACTAATGGTTAATGTAGTTTAATTGTAGTTTAGACAGTTTATGACTAGGTTTCGGAAGAATCTCGTCTCTAACAATGGCATATTTTGTATCCATATGCTTCATGAACTGATGGGAATCGTTTTTAACACTGAACTAGCTAAGGTTTCAATCCTAAATTATCCAAACTACTAAATACTCACAACGTAGAGCTGATAGAAGTAAATGAAAAACCAAAGGAAATTGGAAAAACAAGTAGCTGTGTAAATCAGTTTGCAACACAAATGAACAAAATTGACTTGCAGAGGAATGAGGTCTTAGTATATGAAGTATTTACTAAAATGTCTGAATAAATTTTCATGAGGTGTACAAGCTTAAACTTTACTTCATAACTAGTAATGATAAATAAAGGCTAGTAGTAGAATCCAAAATACGCGTTTCATACTAGTTGAGACTCTCTAATAGCGACCGATCAGTTCGGTCTAATCAACGATAAAAATCACTAGCAATAACACTTATTTCGTAAAAGCTAGGTAAGGATAGATTCTTACCATATTTTAACAAAAATAGTCACACAAAGTGACTAGAAACCCTAATGATTTTGCAGTCACTATTTAACAGAAGCTAGGTAATGGCATAAAATGGGCTAACACAGTTTCTCATTCAGTATGCCTTCAAGCGTTTTGCAGGGTGACTGTAAGTGGCGATCTCTAAATGCAACCATGTGGCTTTCAAAATGCATGTATTTGCACAGGCATCTGTAAAAACCACCGTCATACGTAGAGCTGCCTTAGTGTGGATAGTGGAGGGTGTAATTATTCATTAAACAACTTTCATGGAAAACAAAGTCCAGCTCAGTTATTTAGATAACGATAAATGCAAATAGCAGTAACGACTTTTCAAGTCATCTATGAACTGTTGAGATAAGCATTTTGCATTGGATGAACTACAACCACTGACGAGGTTCTCATAAATATACGTTTCACTGCCTAAATTTTGTCTATATCCAATGCCATTATTGTATCTGGTGCTCGTCAGGTGTGAAATACTAATATGACAGTTCCAATCAATAAGTAGCTCTAAGACTATTCTGTTGATTGTTGAAATAATCATTTAAGTTAGTTTATTTCTACTGAGAAGGTAGGTATTTTTTTCATGAAATAAATAAAGCTAATCGTCTGTCTCGCTAGTTGCTAGAGTAGCATTTCGAGTCACCCCAATGGATAATCAAGTGACGGTACTAGTTAATATTCCTATACTAACACAGTAAACAACATCTAAGCATACAGAATTTCAAATGGCGAAACGAAAGGATAGCTAGATAATGAAGTAATATGTTATTTACAGATTACCTAATGTAAACCGCTAAGTGACGTAGACTGTTACTTTTTTTTAAACTATGAAATGAAAGGACATAAATGTGGCCTCCATATTAGATTTGTTTATTTAATTCATAACACACAGTGATATAGTATTATTGACTTGATGACATTTCGAGCATAAATAATTGCTCATAATCATAAATGTAGCCTACAGTGTTATTCATGGCCCTTCCCAAGTATTCAATATCAAGTGGCAGAAACAAGTGAGAAAAGATGTTTCCAACTGACCACATTCCAGCACTGTAAACCTGAATAGCAATATTCTACTACAACTACATGAATCCATTTGAGTAGGTCAAACATTAATCCTTAGTTAATTTAAACTTTGGGTATATTTTTGAATCTATACGTTGGCTTTAAAAATGTGTCTGTGTTATGTGATGCATGTACATTTTTGAATAAGGCTAATGTGATTGATTCCTGTCCAAAGAAATTATACAGAAATCTCGGGAGAAGCTTTTGCTTGTCATAGCTCGATTTTTATCTACGGATAAGTCTGGGAACTTACATCCTACTACCTAGTTTTCTCCAAAGGAAAAAAATTGCAGAGGATTTGAACAATCACATTTTCAATAGTGAGATTACTTTTATGCGATTACAGTCAAACGATGTTCCACATAAAGTACCTGCATAGCATATCAAAAAGAAACTTAGTTTTGCTAACCTTGAGAGTTTGATCCAAACCTGTTACGTCGGTGTACTTCAAGAGCATGATCCATACCCAACTGTCGACAGACAACATTCGCCTCTTTCATTGTCCAGTGATCATCACATATTTTACCCCAACCGTATGTTCGATAAATAAGTACTGTACCGGCCTGATCATTTGGACCATCCACTAATTTTATATCACCATCATTATGTTTCGAAGAACAACTTGTATCGAAAATGAGTATATTCAAAATAATGATAATACTAATATGATATGAAGTAGCGATAATGTTAATCAGAGGAATAAAAAAGTAATTTTTCGACATTATTTGTTATACTGAATATTTTCCTCTGACTGTGTAAAGATATTGACTAAATACCAAAATAAAGTGGAATATAACTCTAGCTTTGAATTAGTTTCCTTTCGTAGGTTGCGTAAGTATGAAAATGCACACACTATTATGCATGCACATTTTGTTTTGTGAATGCAAATGAGCATTAAGAATTTTCGAAAATAATATTTTCAGGTAACTTCATCCAAACATTTCTACTGATTACAATTACCAATAATACTTAGTGTTAGTATAATTCACCTATTAACCAGTTACCCGTTTTGTTATTGCCGAAATAAAATAATGCGAGTATGGTAATGAGTGTGTCCAGAAAGTTAAACACACATGGTCATATTCTTCTTTCAATATCGTCCATTTAGTATGTATATGATGTCACCTAAAAGCCATTTGTTTTTCACCTCTGAAGGATGTAAACACTTACTAGGCTGACAATCAAAAACAACAATTGTTTATTTATTGATACTTGAACTTCACCGTCGACTGTTATGTTGGATAGAATCAGTCGGTTTCTGTTAGTATATGGACTTCTTGAACGAAAGACTCGATATTATCTGAAGACTAATTATGATGTAATTTAATTGATGGTAGCTAGGACCGGAATTCAAGACTCACATTTCTCTCCATTCTGGACTCGTCAGCTGAATGTACTTGCTTCCCAGTGGGTAATGTTGTTTTCAGTGAGACTCAAACACCATAGCGTTATGCATAATAATACTGAGTCACGATATAACATGGCAATCAAATGGAAAGTAGGTTTACTAATGAATAAAATTGATGTCCGCTGAACAAGGTGTGACTCTAGTAAATCAGAAACCTGCTGTACAACACTTTGCGGTTTGCAACGCTGTGTGGTGGGCCCAAGTTCTAGTGAAAACACCGTCACCAACTGTGGTCGAAGTACAACTAGCTGATACGTCTGAAATAGGATGAAACATGTGCTCTTGATCACACTGCCTGTTACCACTAACCACAGAACACGAATTCGTGTTGGTAAACAGATTAATAGGGATGTATCGCAGCACTTGAAAACCAGGTTCGGAAAATTAATTCTGCAGGAACAATCATTTCTTCTATAAAGGGAACACATTAATCATGTTGTTCAGTGTTGTTACTTAGTTTTGATTGTTTCTTTTTTAATGGTCAGATAAATTGGTGTTAAACTGAACAGATGGGATTCAAGCATTCTAACTAAAGAAGAAAATTGATTGTCTTTTACCTTTGATAAATACTGTTACAGATACTGATAACCAACAGTTAAAGTAGTACTTTGTTGGTAGTTACTGACACTGGTATATTATGTATAATACTTCTAATAGAGACTTTGAAGGATCTAAAAGTATCTGACTTGCGATTGCAAAAGCCTTGTGCTGAACATTCCTCCAGTTGCTGCCATTTTTACTTATATGCTGATGAGTAAAGTAAATAAATTAGCGTTGAATAATTTGTTGAGGAAATCTAAGTCACTAAAGTATTTTCAGTCAAATCTGTTTGGGTACAGTGACAAAATAACTTTGAGGGTAAATGAAATATTGTATATTTTTGATTACTAGTGATTTCTTGCAACACACTGATTTTACGAATTCACCTCTAACACTTATCTCACAGGAAATTGTTCGCACACTTAACTGCCACTTTTATGCTCAAAATACACACACGATGAGTTGCAAAATTTTCCCATCCAAAGTTTGATGCTTACTGTCTTAGCATTTTCCTAATTCACACGGTCCATATTTACAACCTAATCACCTGTCCATGACGTTCTATAACCGACAAAAGTAAAACAACACAATGAACTTATTCATCGTCAAGACTGTTTTCCTCTCAGCAATTTCAAAATAATCCTATAAATTTTGATTTACGACTTCTCTGTGAATTGGGTTCATGAGTTTTAGTAGCCATTCAACTGTTAGGTACTATTATGAATTTGATATATCAAAAACTGGTTAGAGAGGTAGTGCTTTTTTGCATGGTCGGTGAAGCATAAGGTTAAGTTGTAGCGGTCCATGTTGGTCTGAGTAGTATTTCTTCATTTAACCTGTCTCTTATTTTAAATGTAATTTACAGATAAAAGCATTAACGTTGAGACTATCAGTACTATGGAACGGTATAAGACTCTACCGCTAGTTGTAGACACTTCATTTACTATGCATATAGCTACTGGTCTTGAATGTTAGTGCAACTAATTGTTTACGGAACCCTTGTGATCTCAAGAGCTGGTATTTAATTAACAATCTTTTAGTAAATCAACTGTTTTCAGTTGTTAGACAGTTTTAGCATCAGTTGTGCATGTCATAGCACAATATGACTCAGTCATTGTTAGGCGATTGTGCTACGTATATATCTTAAAGTGCAAGATGATGACAGTAAGATACTCAGTAAAATTGTAATTAAATCAATAGTATTACTGTTGTGAGAGCTACTTATATGAATGCAAAATTAAAGGTGATAACAACCAGCTGTTCAAGACTTGGTCAAAAAGCATGCACATTACTGGAAGTCGTGAGGAATGTTGAAGTGTGTGTTCAAACAATTTACTACAAGAAACGGACCATTGCTACGAAATCTGCCTCCTAGATGAGATGGCTGGTATATAGTCACTTGGCCTAGTTTATGCGATCAGCAGAGACAATAAACGAAAAAAGTATGAACTCCAGTCAACTTTAGAAGTCCATCGCACTGTGAAGAAAGGGCAGTCTAAGAGTGTACGGAAGATGAAATACATAAGACGATAATGAGGAATTCATAAACAAGTGCACTTTGAGTTACTCAGAGGACGGCATATGATTAATACATATCCAAAACCTAAAGATGATGTTTATCGATCAATGAGGATTCAGACAAAACTAATAAACTATACTGAATAAAAATACATGTCAAATTTAAAATTTATTTAAATGTTCCTATGGAAAAGCTCAGAGAAGACTTCCGTGAGAGACACTGGAATTATTTTACTTTAAAGTTACTGAGACTTATGTAAATACAACCTATATCTAATGCCAACCTTTCACTCGACGCCCAATACAATTTCACATAATAAATGTCAGATTTGTTCGAATTGCGTTTGATCGATTTATCAGTAATCACATCAGTTATTTCATGTAGCAGCTACTTATGTCAACAACATAAAAAATATTATAAATGTCTTGTAACTTTACTACAGTGTCTTTGATCGTCCAAATAGCAAATAAATCTGTTCGTTCTCTTCTTACTTTTGCCTTCCTACACAATAGTTGTTAGTAGTTGAAACTGGACTTAAGTTTGCTGGACCAGCAGTCATATTGTATCAGGATTGTTTTTGCTCACTATGAATACGCAGAACACATTTTTGATGGAGTGTCATTCACAAAAATCAAGAACAACAACAGACCCAGAGTAGCTCCTCGCAAGTCAATATTATTATTTTAACTAGGTTGGACACACCTTTTTGACTACTGTGCCAAACTTGTCGAGCTCTGAAATATGACTCCAAATTTATAGACGCGTCCAGATACAATATAGCCTGCTCATAATTCCCGACACTGCTGATCCACCTGCGTCAGACAGTGTAAATATCAGGAGTTAACGCGAAGTATATATCAGGATGTTGTATTGGTCAACGAGCGAGCAAAAAGTGTTTACATCAGTACAACTAGACAAAAATGTTCAATGAGTTGTTACATATATCAACATAATACAGTGAAATAAAGTGCTACGTAAGTCCCTCCCCAGAATACAGATATAAGAGGGAATATCTATGTTCAATATAAAACGTTATTAGAAAGGTAAATTCATTTTGAAGATATTCGAAACACAGAAGGAATGTTAAGGATACCTATTATCAGGACGGAAACTGGACGAGTTTTTATATAAAAATGAAGTGTATGATGGTCGAAACACCAAAATAACTTTACCAAAGTAATAATATATCTGGAGATAAAAAAAATTAACAACCAAAATCGTACTGTCTGGAGCATTCTTAAGGAATAAAAGATTCGGAAGTCCGTGGAGCCAGGGGAAAAATTGTTTCTGTGCATGTGGAAAAGTCTGACAAAAGCGTATGGTCATGTTTTCAACACGGTAATGAACAAAAAACGGTAATAATGTTACTAGAGAATTGGTTTTATTAAAAGTAAATTGTCTGAAAGTAACGTTGAGGCCAACAGACTCTTCTTCCGGATCTTGTGGTTCTGCTACCATCGCTGAATGATTCCAACACCGTTGTTTCCATTTTGATGGTGGTTTCTGGTGTTTCCGGTAACTTCACTGTGAGTTCAGACTCGGTATCAGTGACGTCCAGTTCCACAAACGCTGGGTTGATTCTGTCAATGCTGACCGTTTCTCATCTACCCGAGCGTTCGACCGTGACAACTTTGTCTGATTTATTAATTACCTTGAAAGCTCCTTCATACTGCGGCTGTAAGGGTTTTCGTACGCCGTCATGTTGGACAAAAACGTGAGTGCAGTTCGATATGCACTCAGGTACGTAAAATTGGTTGTCTCGGTATCGTGGGGGCCGAGGTCGTAGTGTGCTCATGTGTCGCCGTAGTTGTTGTGCATAGTTAGTCAAGTTCGATGGAACGTCCGTTGCTGGGTTAAAATACTCTCCTAGCAATCTTAAAGTAGTCCCATAAACTAACTCAGCGGTGTAGCAGCCAATGTCCTGCTTGACGCCCCAACGTATACCAAGGAGTACCAGTGGTAATTTGTCACTCCACTTGTCATCAGTCTTTACTGCCATCAGTGCTGCTTTTAGATGTCGATGGGACCTTTCAACAATACCATTGGATGCAGGATGGTACGCAGTGGTTCTTATATGCTTAATCCCAAGAAGTTCGGTTAACTGTTGAAATAGACTACTCTCCAACTGTGAGCCTCTATCTGAGGTGATGACACTCAAGACACCAAAGTTAGAAATCCAGTGTTGGATGATACTTCTCGCTATTATTTCGGCAGATATATCCTGCAGAGGTACTGCCACTGGCCATCCTGTGAATCGGTCTGCACATGTTAAAATGTAGCTGAAACCATTTGACGGGGGTAGTGGTCCAAAAATGTCAACTTGTATACGGTCAAACCTGCCGTCCGGTGCAGGAAATCTTCCGGTAGGTGAAAAAAATATGTCTTCGCACTTTTGATCGCTGGTACGCCAAACACGCTCTGAACCACTATCGAAGATCCCGATTCGTCTTCGGCCGAACGCATAGGTCAGTAATTAACTTCACCGTAGCTCGAATACCAGGATGTGAAATGCCATGCATCTCTGAAAAGACTAATCGTCTCATTGACAAAGGCACAGACGGAGATGGCTTACTCTTGGATACATTACAAGTGATGGATACGGAGCCACCAAGCGCCACTTCTTCAAGCTGTAATGAGGTGTTCACACTATCTTTCAAGTGCTCCAAGCCGTCATTCGTCGCCTGAAACTCCTCGACTTCTGCGAGGTTAGTATGGTCACGATCTAAGACGTTTACATACATACCAGACAAAGTATCAGCTGCCTCATTTTTGCTGCCTTTGACATACCTCATATCTGAAGTGAATTGTGAAATTGTAGCATCACACACTCCCCCAAAATCAATAGCCTAGGGTCTGACCACTTTCGACATTGATGCTGACCTTTTTAGTTTAACTGGACTCGCCAAGCTGAAGGCACCCGGTCAAGCATCCTCGCCATTTGGCACGCTGTCGTGTTACGTTGCACTGCTCGTATTCGACTCTCTAGCCAGTTAGTTGGAACGCATCGGTATCTTGGCACAACCATCCAAATATACTATTCCATCCGACTACGCTATCGTGTTCTTCCTTGGTCTCGTACTCGTGGGTATGTAACAAGTCCAAATAATTAGTGATTGGTCTTTGCGTCTGTCAAGTTTGCACTAGGACTAATCCTAGAAAGTAAACTCTAAATGTTGAATTTCTCGCGGTGAGTAGTTGTCATGCTTTGCGTCAATTACCATCGTGAGTGGCTTGTGGTCGGTAAGTGCTATAAACGCGTACCCTTCAAGAGCATATCTGAAATGCTTGATAGCCAAGTAAGTCACCATTAGCTCTGTGCCGAATGTACTGCATCGCGATTGAGAAGCATTATGTCGTTTCGAGAAGAAAGACAATGGTTCCCACTGACCATGAACGAACTGTTGTAGTACTGCGCCTACCGCAACATTTGAAGCGTCTGTCATGATTGCTAATGGTGCCCGCAAATCACGACGAGAGAAGAGTTTCAGAACTCAGAGCCAGCTTCAGTTTGCTTACGGCCTCATGGGCAGCTTCGGTCATGTGAAACACTTTAGCTCGTCCTTGCAGCAAATCTGTCAGCGGTTGGGGGTACTTCAGCACATTTAGGTAGGAAACATTGACAGAAGTTTATTAACCCCTGAAACATTCTCAGCTCTCGAAACAAGCCTGAAACAGGATATTTTCGAATTGCATCTGCTTACTGCTGCACTGGTTTAACACCTTTGGCATTAGCAATGCGACCCAAAAACTGTAGGGATTCTTTGCCAAATTCGCACTTCTGCGGATTGACTGTAACTCCATATTCATGCGGTCGTTCGAAAATGGTCCTCAGGTGTTGCAGGTGCTCTGTTTCAGATGCGCTTGCTACCATTAAGTCATCTATGTATGCACTGACGAAAGACAATCTATGAATTGCCTAATCTATAAATCTTTGGAACGTTTGAGCAGCAGTTGTCAAACGAAACGGCATACTATTAAATTCAAACAGTCCGAGGGCGGTAGTGATGCCCTTCCTGGGAACATTATCGGGTTCCGCAGAAATGTGACGGTAAGCCCGTAAGAGATTAATCCTCGAAAAAATGTTTACTTTTATAAAACCATGTACGTGAGGAACTGGATACTTACCAGGAACCGTACGCTTATTCAACGCTCGATGATCGCCGTACTTCCTCTAATGTTTTTAGGCACCATATGCAAAGGTGATGACCACTGGCTCTTGGAAGTGCGTATAACTCCGAACTTTAGAGGTTTATTGAATTCCTATTTCGCTATCTGCAACTCCTTGAGGCCTAGGCATTTTGGTTTTGATGGGACTGGAGGACCTTTTGTAAGAATGAGGTCCGTCACTGTGTGTTTTGCAGAGGACTTTGTGTAATCCGTTCGAGTGAGCCCGAGAAATTCTCACAGAAGGATATCGTACTCGGAAGCGCTGTTTATTGGAGCTACTACTGGGTTTATTGTTTTTGTCTCCGCAACCATACCCGCGATAGAAAATCCACTATTACGGCTAACTAATCTGTGGCGACTAGAGTCGACCAATAGTTCGTGGTGTTGAAGGAAATCCATGCCAGTGGTGGACGATATGTCAGCAATGACGAATTCCCACTGGAAAAGTGTATGAAAATCAATGTCTGGGATCAAAATTCCGGCTCCATATGTAGCAATAGCAGATTTATTTGCCGCTTGTAGTATCAAGATAAGGTTGGGATGGCGTTTTTTGGAAGGTATGGGTGGGACGAGACTGACTTCTGCTCCAGTGTCAGCCAGAAACTGCGCCTCAGCCTTCCTTTTCGTCACCTCAAACAAGCGACTGCGTTGTTGTACGCCGGTGACAGCGGTTGTCACTGATAGCCGGCCTCTCCGTTTTCCGATGAAAAGTCCTTAAAATAGCACGATAACAATGACGTGCTTTACTGCCAAACTCCTTGTGATACCAGCATGTGCTACTTTTTGACGCAACTCTACTTGTGGTCTTACCACGACTACGGAACCTGCTTCCATAGGGCTTCGGTGACCGTCGGTTTAACTGCAAAGCCGTCAGTTGTCCTGTAAGTATGTCGATCTTCCTCTCTAAAGTGGCCACTCGGTCGTTTTGCGTTGGCTCGGCAATACTTTCAACACATTTGGGCATTCTTTCGTACAAACAGTCAGCAACGTCAGCCAACCTGTCAGTGTCCGCACCTGCAACAACCAACATCTGCTGAATACATGAAGGAAGTCTCCACAGCCACAGATGGTAGAATAAACGGTTGTCTGCGTTCCTATCTTTCAGCAGACTTTGCATATGTCGCTTAAGTTGTGAAGGTGTTCTGTCGCCGAGGTATGCGCTACTCAGTAGTTGATCGATGGCCTTCTTGTCAGATAATGAAGTAGCTTTCAGCACCTCTTGCTTCAAAACATCATAAGGTGTGTCCGGGTGGGGCTTTAATCGTGTCGCCCTTACCTGTTCAGCCACTTCTTCCGGTAAAACAGGGCTAGTGTATCCGAACTTTGTGTTTTGCGAAGTTATATGATTGGCCATGAAGAAATTTTCAAGACGAACAATACACAATTACAGCTCATCAAACTTAAAACATGGCATAGGAAGACTAGTGGCACCCACGGACTCTACATTCGAAAAGTCTTGATTATGACATTTTAAGGACACCAGTACTGGTACTGGAAAAAAAATTTTAAGAACTCAAAATAACAAGAGTGAGGAAAATACGATAGACAAGTATTTCAGTGCCCACCACAAAGCAACCGGAGGTATTTTCGGTGAAACAAAATGCTACAAACTCCTGACTGGGCGAGTGGTCACCCAACCAGGATAGCACGAAGCAGCTGATTCTGAACCTTACTATTCTGGGGCAAATGCGAGCATCAGAACTCTGTTGAAAGTCGTAGTAGGATCCAGAAAAGTCATATAGACTGGAACCTATTGGTCTCAGCAAGCCATTTGGTTTTCATAACCTACTGAAGCGTTAGAGGAACAGGACCCACTCTTTAGTGCCACCGGCCGGTGGAGCTCCCAGTCCCTTTTGTGTACCCCTTTAAAGGCAGAAGATAGGATTTCCCACCCCTCTTCCTGCAAGAATATATCTATTTAAGGAATGTTGAGAACAAGCCACATGGGCAGGTTACACACTGTTTCACCACAGAAAAGCGGACGTGGTTTCATCCTTATGATTCTGCTGTACGGAGCTTTTGCAGTCCTCCAGGAACCATAGCCAGGGTATCTGTAGTCTGAGAAACTTGTTTTCATTTAGTAGCCCTGAAAGGGATTCGTCTGACTGGTGTGTATATTTGAGTGGCGGATTGTTGAGCTGTGTCAGTGGTGGCGCCGAAAATTTCAGCAATCTGCGGTTTACATAGGATCTGTCGACCCAGGATTATTATGACACACACTCACCGACTAGGAGGTTTCCTCTTCGCTACGATAAATTCATAAAATAAGCTCGTTGTGTTTTCCTCAGGCTTCTAAATGTTTTGCCTGTGACGATTACCTCTTCCCCACGCCTAAGTGCTGCACCACCACCTAGGACCCTAATTGGCGCCAAGGTGTGACTCATTCATGGAGAGGATCTTATTCATGCCATGCTTTCCTCTCAGCCTTCTATATGGGCTTAGAGCTTCGTTTAGGCCGCTAGATTCGCCTTTTTGTCATTAGAACGAAAGGTATATTTTTGGGTCGCCCTCTTGCTGATGTCCCTTACTAGTTCCAAAGAATGACTAGTCAGTAAAGTGCACTGCTGCTGAGGTCACAGAGCTGTCGATAGAAGGCGCTACTTCACCATACAGATATTCTTACCGTAACAAGATCAGTAGAGAGACGTGAGTCTTGACGTTCGTTCACTGACTTTCATGCAATAAATTAACGTGGGGTGGTTGCCACTTCTTCACTTCGGCAATTTCTACTAGAAGAGAGTCGCTATTTAGAAAATAGCTCAGCGTGACGGCTTTTCGCCAGAAACTCAGTGAGTCTCGCCACCGATTTTTCATGCATTACTGTCTTACTGATGTCACGTAGCAGGTTTCAGTCGAAAGACAGAAACTGCACTGTCCGACCAGTAGTTGCGTGATGGGATCCTAATGGACCCAATGCGGTAAACTGATCGTAAACTCTGGTCTATCAGTATGAAGCTAGTTAGACTATAGGTCAATTCTCCTCTACACAGCTAGTAAGAAGCTGACAGGGTACTCAAATCAGATGTGCAGTGTTCAAGAATCGAAACTGTGTAACCACGACCAAAGGAGTCTGTCAATCCAGTATCAGATGCTCGTCAACTTTTAGAATGCTTGGTCACGTGAACCGTAAATCGGATACTATCACGCAAAATCCGCCATATTTGCGCAGGAGTATTAACTCATTTGGCGGGACGTTGGAAGCCTGGGAGCGGTGTACAGCTGTTTCGTCCTAGCACACGACTCAGTAGTGCGCACCCATGACCCCGCCGGGGGTCGAACCCAGGACCTTCGGGTCTCGTTGCCAGCACGTTACCATTGAGCCACTGGTCCACATTTCCTGCTTTGATCCCTGGCAGGCTCATGGGCGCGCACTGCTGAGGAGTCCGATAATAGGGCGAAACAGCTGTCCAGTGCACCTAGGTTTCCAATGTTCCTCACACTGATGTTAGTTCATAATGAATTGTAACCCAAAATCAGTTAATAAAACTCCACAAACTTCCAGATAGAATCAATTATTTTTCAATGTATAGTGATTTAAGGTCTCAGTACTTCCAAACATGTTTAAAAATAAACTAGATGGAGTTGTGATTTACTTGTAGCATAATAATACTTCGCGATACCACTATTTCATGTCTTTCAATAGTGTTGGAGTTTTAAAAATTAGAACGTCTACTTATCAAATCCAGATTCATTTTTAATTTTCACTTTCAACCAGTCAGACAATACTCGGTTGGCAATAGTTGCTCCGATGACCGTCAAAATGCAAGCTGTGAAACCCATCGTAACTGGCAAACAAGACAACAAAATTAACTTCAAACATTTCGTCAAGGTATGTAAATATTTCTAAGAAAGGAATTAATTTACTTTTGTTGATCACAGAATTCCCTGCATGTGGATTTTAAAGAAACCTCGTAACTTAATAACATCATAAGTTCTTATTTTTTAGTATGCTGTGCATGTTTAAGATAAGCAGATATACAAAATCAACGCAAAAATCTCGCACAGAAGTGCATCGGTTCAAGTTCCCACACTTCATAGCGACAGAATGCAAAGAATAAAAAGATAGAAAAAGGGTAATATCGAAGTAGACTAAAGCATATCACACGGGAAAGAATCCGATCATTATGGTCAATGAAAATGTTCAGGCTTTAGAATACACCAAAGAGTGAATACATCTACAACACACACACACACACACACTTAAAATGAGTCTTTCAAAGGAACTCTTGTGGGCTGGAGTGGTAGTGGATTAGAATATAATAGTTCATGTAACTCTTCATCCTTTTTGTTAAACGTTCCTGATTTTGTGGAAGCTGACATATATTTGAAATAATATTCATACATATAAAAGACGGAACATCAGCCACATTGTCTATACTTCCCAGAATGAAGAGAATTTATAATCTGAACTACTGGACGAATGCTATATACAAAATTTCTGCTGAGGAGTGTTAGTCGCGCTTAACGTGCACATATGCTGAGAAGGTTGTGGGCAATATGTATTATGAATAGAAACCTCAACTAGTCATGTAACTGGAAACCTTCATTGCTGATTACGTACTTCATTTCGATTTATATATACTGTCATTTCGACGATAACTATGTGGGGTGTCATTAGCTATCGGAGAACTGTTGCGGGTTCACATAACCAGCTTCACCCAAGATCGACTGACGCGCTCTGATATCACTACACATGAAGATATTTTCAGAGCTAAAAGATTTCTTCGACTTCTTTAATACAATCATAGATGCTCTAGCCATATATACTTCTCTGAACTGATAATTCATTAATCTGTGTGTACAGTTTATTGTTCATCAACAATAGTAATTTGTGAGGCCAAGAAACTGTGTTTCGAAATGAGTCAGGTGACAGCCGTCATTTTCGAAAGTATGGGCTTAAGGCGAATAAACAATGTGAAAGTGAACAGTCCACTTTTCGAAATGACATTTATTGAGTTCGGTAGCAACTCCGTATTGCGTTATTTGCTTGGAAAGAGTCCTGGGGTGTCGCACACTGTAAAAAGTTGATGCACCAGCTACTGATATATAGTCATTGTTTGCACAAGCAAGAGGTGCACTATGAACAATCAAATTTAAATGACATGAGAAGTATGAATAGTGTTTGCTATACCAAGTGGTGGATATACAAACTTCCATAAAAAGGTCGTAGAATTCAGTGATTAGAGACTCCTCGTGAAATCATTTAAAACCTGTCACAATGGCACAGGTGTATTCACTCATTTACGTCATCCAATGCTTGAACTTTTTCACCAAACTTTATTTTCATATATTCCGTGGTCCCCATAAATCTTTATTTACTGTAATGTGTATCTTCTTCTATTCACTTACTCTTTGCATATTACTGTGAAGTTTGGTAATATGAAGCTGTGCATTTCTATGCGAGGTTCTGCGTTCATTCTGTCTCTCTGTACACTTACATTAGTTACCAGCCACTTAAATAGTAACCGTTATTTTTCAGTCTTCTTTTGCTGACTTTGAAGTCACTTGTATACAGTTTTATACATTGTATACTACTTTTGCTTCCAGGTTTGGCCAACATACCTTCGTCATAGTGCATTCGTGAAGCCTTGTGCACGCCCTTATATATCAAAACCTATTCCTCTGGTTTCTTTCGAACAGACATTAGAGAAGAATTATGATGGGTGTGAAAATATGGTGAAATCAAAACGACCATCTGGAGATGAACAAGAACGAATTAACCAGCTTTTCGAGTGAGTAGTTTTATTTATTGTTCACGTGACAGGCATCTTTGGACTTCAACAGGGAAGATTTTTGTTCGTATCATTGAAGTTCCATGATTTCTTTAAAAATTTACTCACAGCGAGTTCAATACACATTTTATGGGACTTTTGGAGACCGCTTAACGGTGCAAACAAACATTTTTAAATCTACATTGAAGGTTTCATCAACAACCCACATTGGCTTAGATTGTCAAGCATATGTGATGGTCGATCTACTCATTCCGTTGTCAAACAGACACCGATGCAGATCATTTACGATGCAATGATTCGTACTTGTGAGGTGAGGGCTGAGCCGTTAGTTTCCTGAGGTGTTACTGAGTGTGTCCAAGAGACTGCCTTTCGTCAGCGTCTTCACCCCACGATGATGCTTTTGTGCATTCCTAATGACATTTAGAGACGGTTGAAAATATGGTTTCTGCTGTGATCTCCACACACTTGTACAATAGTATAAGACCTGGGACAACTGTGTAACGATCACCAGCTCAGCACAAAAGGTAGATCAAAGGAAGTTGTAGTAACATTGCTATTTGATTGCAGTCCTTATTTCGATAAGCCTTTACAAAGCGTGCTAAAGAGCTTGCTGCGCTTCTTTTGCTCTTATTCTTGAAATACGTTTAAAACCATGTACCATTTTTTTTTGCTTGACTTCATTCAGTTCGCTTACGTGACCCTACTGAAGTTCTTACTTCTATTAACGCTGTCATTGCACTTCATTTTATCCAGATGCTGTAGTAGCCGTTAAACTGAGGGTTATCAACTGAATTCCATACATATATTTCGATATAAGGAGCAGTGTTTCAGAGAGTTCGTCAACAGGTTTGGCGTATGTCCCTTGTTTAGCATTCCACAGTTTTGAAATTGGTCAGCATTGCCTTGCATTTTGGAAAACCTGGGGTTCGTTACGAACTACAGAGAGATTTCTGTCGTAACACGAGTTCTTCAGTTAAGCTCTACTCTTATTTTGGCTGACGGTTTGGACCGTTTCTCCTTCAGAACACGGTTTCAATATCTTGTACATACTGCTTGTAAACGATCTCGGCTTACTGCGGAAATGAAGCCGTAAACGAGTTCATAATGCCAGAAGATATGGGAAAATGTTTCTGTATGCAGAATAACTTGGAAGTTCGTAATGCTTAGGTGGCGCTGAAAATAAACTGAGTGTTGATGACGCTAGTGTGCGTCATTTACGTTGAAAGCGTTATCATGTTAATTATAAGGCACAAAGTTATTTGGGCTCAGGAATACGGCAAGTCCACCCGAACTATGTCACGTACCAAGTGGTTTTGCATCGGGATTGAGGAATTGGTCAACTTCGATTGTCATAAACACATGGTTATTAAAAATATGGTTGATATATTTTGATGGGCGGTTCAGTCAATACCAGTTGTTTATTGGTCACTCTGGAAACATACTGGAAACTAAACTTAGTGACAATGTGCCCGCCTTTCTGCTGCACATCTGCAAGCGAAGGGCGAGCTCGGCAATAGATCCATATGTGTCACTGCCAAATGATTTCGGATGTGACCGGGCCAGTCAAGTTCTCTAAGACCTTTACGCGCAGGATCATTTATTCGCTAGATCACTTATTGATGAGCTGGTCTGAGATGGGCATCCAGCGGGGAGTTTGGTTGAAGAAATGGATGAGTCCCCCATGAAGTTAGAAATGTACAAGCAACACCGTTTCGGAAAGTCCATGTCGCAGACCTGAAGTCACCGGTCAGTTTGGAGACTGTTGTTATTTGGCTACCTACAGATCAACAAGACAAGTGGGGCGACGTAGCTGACAATATTTTAGTCACTGGAAAGGAACCCGATTTTGAGGATTTGGTTTATTCTGTTGCGGAAAGAGCCAGGGGAGCTCAGTCAAAGCACTGTTTGCTAGCACGACGCAACCTGATAAACGGCGAAACGGAGAATTCTGGCACAATTCAAAAATTGCATTTGAGATGGTGAGAGGTACCGATTGTTCGACTGGTGATCAGCCAACACTGTTCTCAAAAGTGTATCTCTTGGCATGATTCCCATTGTCCCCTTGGGGGTTCAAAGATATTACACTTACATGTTATGCCGCAAGAGAACGAGGTTCGTCAGCGTTGGCCGTCATGTAATGTGTATTGAGATGTCCAGGGTGGGTTGTTCCCTGAATTGGAGTATTAGTTGACGGCGTCATGCCAAATGTCATCAGTGGATCAGAGCTTCATAAGAAAGGGAAATAGTTGATCACGTATGGCTATTTATAACATACTACTGTCTGAATCGAACCCATTGATCTGTTTGTAACTTTGTGAGTGATATTGAGCGTGGTTAGTCGACATTTTGCCCCTATTTTTCTTTCAGAGGTGAGCAACCGTGTACAATCCTTTCTATGCCGACAATGTTTCGAATAATCAATTCACCAAATATATGTAGCAAGTGGCAATCTGACTGCAGTACACTTGTGCAGGTCTAATATATCTGCGTATATACCCAGTTTCCTTAAGGTAGTTTAGGTTTGTCGAACAAGGTGACGGTATAAGCAGGTGTGTTCAAAGCAGATTGAAACTCAAACAGAAAGCAAGTCGCTGACTTCTTTCTCATGTAAACAAAGCAAGCACATTTTGGATGCTGATGTTGAGTAAGGCATTTACACCTCATAGCATATCAGCACTATCCAAGAAAGGTCCCTATTTTCGTCCCGCAATTACCATTTCGGTTCGTTTACTTATCCCTACTCCATTAATCATTCATAACACTAATTATTCACATAACATTTCATCCCGCCTTTAGATTAGCCTAATTTTACATCTTGATTCTCTGAGAAATATTGCAGGGGGGCGGGAAAAAAGTTTATTTGTCTTATCAGTGGCACCAAAGCTCTTCTAAATATTCAATCTATTGAATTACAATGCGGAAAAATCCAGAAAAGTCACAGCCTTCTGAGCTATTTACTAGAAGGCAGAATAGCCATATGTATCTGGAAAGTACTACTGAGGTACAAGCCTGAGATGTGAGAATTCAGTAACTTACAGTTTTCTACACTCAGATGACTTGTGTAGAATGATGAGAAATGGTCTCAGTTCAAAAGGAACACACTTGGTTTCCCATCTACTCGTATTTCTTGAAGTAAAGGAGATCAGGAATAAAGAATTTACACCGAATTTATAGATCGCTATGTGTGTGTATGAAAATAAATACTCCACCTTTTATTAAGCCATACACCCTTAGGCTTGTATCCTGGAAAGTCAGTAGCTCTAATTATTTCAGGACTGTAGCAGAAAAGACTAGTCTGCTCGTCCCCTCCTCAGTACAATTTTATTTGCCAAATTTCTGAATTACGGATTTTTCGCCACCAATTCCGATAGAGTAGAAAAAGGAAAAGCCCGAAATTGGGTGCTCAAGCGCCACATACCTAACGCATACATCTAAAGACGGTCATATATTTGCCTTTGTAAACTACAGGTGGGCTTAACTCAAAAATAACTTCTCACCAACCACGTGTAATTGCATGCAGCAGGCAATGAGCTATACATATCGTGGAGGTAATTATTCTATCTGGTTGTCCAAGCGTTGCTAGATGCAGCGAGTTTTGAATCCGTAGTCCACTGGTTTAAAGTTAGCTGCCAATGAACAATGAAACAGTTCGACACCCAGAGTGAAGTAGGTGTGTTGTTATGACACTGTCGGAGACGAACTGTGTTGCTTGGATTTTATGTGGAGATAATAATAATAACAACAAACAACTGGAGCGACGTAGCCGAACCTTATTTTGAGGATTTGGCTTATTCTTTTGCGGGAAGAGCCGGAGAATCTCAATCAGAGCACTGTTTGCCAGCACGACGCAACCTGATAAACGGCGAAACGGAGAATTCTGGCACAATTCAAAAATTGCATTGTAGGTGTTGAGAGGTACCGATTGTTCGACTGGTGGTCAGCCAGCACTGTTCTCAAAAGTGTATCTCTTGGCATGATTCCCATTATCCCTTGTGGTGTCCAAGGGTATTAAGTGTGCTAGATGGCGAAAGAAGATCGGTAGGCAGAGATTTCGTTCACCGTTTCGTTTGTCAAGTTGACTATAATTATCAAAATACGATTCTTCCGGCCAGAAAGCAGTGTCATGTCTAGAACGGGTTTCGAATCAAATGGAATTATGTGACAGCACCTTTTCAGAATATTGCGCCTTGCTTTCTAGAGTTAGGCGTGGCCGAGGATATCAAGACATGAATAATTTAGGGGTATTCGTGTTAAATCCACGTGATATCCACGGCACTTCCTAACTACACGAACGGTGCAGTGCTTAAGGAACTGTTTCATCTAACGTCTGGGCTAGACTAGCATCTTAATCTGAATTACATAAATAGCATGTATAACGCATGCTGCATGTCACAATTACTGCCTGTAATGCATACGGCTAAAAGCCCAATTGAAACGAGAGGATTGGAGTACGTTAAAATTCAAACGCCCGAAATTCCAACTGAACCACGATAGGAACACACTATTGCTAACGCGGCGCCGAAAATCTTCAGATGAAGTTTTGGCAGTTCAATCAACGATACCTAACTAATTCTGGAACAGCTTTCTGGAGCCACACCTAGCATTCAGAATCATGGTATTGTGCCCTTACTCCAAAATGATATCATCGACTTAGAAAGGATTCGTAAGCAGATGACTGAATCTGTCTGAAAGGTTGAGGCGTTGTTCCTACATCCTCTAAAATTGCAAGGTGTAGTGAAGTCTGATGGTGAGAAACAGTAATCCAAACAACTCCTAAAACCAGCTACCGTATATCACGGTTTTGGCACGTCAAAGAGACAAAAAATAAGACTGAGATCTGGGGATCAGCAGGATAGATGTTAATCGAAAATTCTACCGCTTGGCAGCCTAGCAATCTCAAATTCCACTCTTGTTCGAATGAATTCCAACTACTTCAGTGGAATCCCTGGAATACAAACTTGAAACCAATTGAATAAGGACTAATTCGTCGACTTTTCTAAGCAGAATAATGTTTACTTCCTGGTTTTCTTGTGTTTAGATTGGCAAACAGGGGACCTCTTGCTTCATTGTTCAGGGAAAAGAAGTAT